CATTGATCTAGTGCTTTCAAAAATGAAAAAGCCAGAGCTGGAAGTGATGTAATGACGTTGCTCCGGAGCTCCAAGGGCATAGAGATGAGTAGAGGCCATCTTTTCTTCACTGATCTCTATGCCCAGAGCCTGAAGTGACGTAATGACGTTGCTCCGGAGCTCCAAGGGCATAGAGATGAGTAGAGGCCATCTTTTCTTCACTGAACTCTATGCCCAGAGCCTGAAGTGACGTAATGACGTCGCTCCGGAGCTCCAAGGGCATAGAGATGAGTGGAGGCCATCTTTTCTTCACTGATCTCTATGCCCAGAGCCTGTGGTGACGTAATGACGTCGCTGTGGTGCTCCAAGGGCATAGAGATGAGTGGAGTCCATCTTTTCTTCACTGATCTCTATGCCCAGAGCCTGAAGTGATGTAATGACATCGCTCAGGAGCTCCAAGAGCATAGAGATGAGTGGAGTCCATCTTTTCTTCACTGATCTCTATGCCCAGAGCCTGAAGTGACGTAATGACATCGCTCAGGTGCTCCAAGGGCATAGAGATGAGTGGAAGCCATCTTTTCTTCACTGATCTCTATGCCCAGAGCCTGAAGTGACGTAATGACGATGCTCTGGTGCTCCAAGGGCATAGAGATGAGTAGAGGCCATCTTTTCTTCACTGATCTCTATGCCCAGAGCCTGAAGTGATGTAATGACATCGCTCAGGAGCTCCAAGAGCATAGAGATGAGTGGAGTCCATCTTTTCTTCACTGATCTCTATGCCCAGAGCCTGAAGTGACGTAATGACATCGCTCAGGTGCTCCAAGGGCATAGAGATGAGTGGAAGCCATCTTTTCTTCACTGATCTCTATGCCCAGAGCCTGAAGTGACGTAATGACGATGCTCTGGTGCTCCAAGGGCATAGAGATGAGTGGAGGCCATCTTTTCTTCACTGATCTCTATGCCCAGAGCCTGAAGTGACATAATGACGTCACTCCGGTGCTCCAAGGGCATAGAGATGAGTGGAGTCCATCTTTTCTTCACTGATCTCTATGCCCAGCCACTGGGATCATTGGAATGGGTTCTCAGCTAAGCCTGGGAACCACCAGAAAGAGACAGCAGGTAGCGGGGCTATTTTTGGCACCTGTATCGGTGCCTATTTTCATATCGGCCAAAGATCAATAGGGGTATTTTCGTCCGAAACATTTCGGTTGCCGAAATTTCGGTGCATCCCTAGTTATAACCTTCCCTTACTCCACCTATAATGAAAAAAATTATTTAACCGTTTGCCTTAAGCTGCTGCTGCTCTGTGTGTCCATTAACACACGGAACGTGGCTCGGCCCTGCCCCTGATCTCTTCTCATTGGCTCACTGGCTGTGATTTTTTTTTTTACATTTCTTTAGTTACTTCCTGGTTTCTGGCCTAGGCAAATTATGTCATACATCCCAGGAATCTTCAGTAGGGGAGGGAGGGTTCTCAGCTCAGCCAGTGCCTGAGCAAAGGGTAAATGGATTCCAGGAAGTAAATGCTACATGAATGAATCATCTGCCCTTACTTAAGATGGCCACTGCCAGAAATGCCAGGGGGTGTTTTTCAAAATGATTTCTCAGCAAAGTAAAGCATGGAGACATGGGGGATTTGCTGTGAATATTAACAATGAATGAAATAGCATTTTTGGTTTTTGGTGCTTACATGCAGTGCAGTCCCACCTTATTTGAACAAGCTGAAGTTAGAAGCTGATTGGCTCCCATGCACAGCTGCACCAGATTCTGAGTGCTCCAGTTTTAGTAAATCTCCCCTAATTTGTATAAGGTCCATATGGCAAACTGTATGCTGATCAGAATGTGAGTTAAAGTGGTTGTCAACCCTTTCATATACCCAGTGAAGTGACTGTCCTCAGGTGATACACAGAGATTAAAAAAATCCTCCTACATAAGTTGTACCTGTTTATCTACAGTCCACTCTGCTCTACATATGTTCAAATTTATAAAGCTTGTCTGAGCGTTCAGAAAACAGGAGGCAGAGAACTGAAATTACACAATGCAGAGCTCAGTGAGGAGAGCTCTGATTGCTGATTGGAGGGAATAGACATACCCCAGGATAATAGCTCACAGGAACAGAGCCAAGGCATTCAATCTGCTGGAGGTCCCTCCCATGTCACCATTTTTTTCTTGATGTAAGGAAAACTTGTCAGAAGTGATTGATGCTGATAGCAGAGGAATGAAGCAGCAGACAAAAATGACGTTTAGTGGTCTGGATAGAGACAAGTACACACTATAGAAGGATATACTTTGTTCATATTTCATGTCTGAGGTTTGCAACCACTTTAAGCTTTGACAGCCTTCTGTTCTCTACAGCCTTCTAAGGCACGCATTACATCCAGCTTTTGTGAGCTCCAGCAGGCAGGGGGTGGGGATCTGATGTAACACATAGCACAACATAGAACATGGAGCTGAATCTAAAACCTGAGTGGAAGGAATAGACATCCTCCTCTACACCCTCCTCTTCACCCTCCTCTTCACCCTCCTCTTCACCCTCCTCTACACCCTCCTCTTCACCCTCCTCTTCACCCTCCTCTACACCCTCCTCTTCACCCTCCTCTACACCCTCCTCTACACCCTCCTCTCCTCACCCTCCTCTTCACCCTCCTCTACACCCTCCTCTTCACCCTCCTCTATACCCGCCTCTTCACCCTCCTCTACACCCTCCTCTATACCCGCCTTTTCACCCTCCTCTACACGATCCTCTACACCCTCCTGTTTACCCACCTCTTCACCCTCCTCTACACCCTCCTCTCTTCACCCTCCTCTACACCCTCCTCTACACCCTCCTCTTCACCCTCCTCTATACCCGCCTCTTCACCCTCCTCTACACCCTCCTCTACACCCTCCTGTATACCCACCTCTTCACCCTCCTCTACACCCTCCTCTTCACCCTCCTCTACACCCTCCTCTACACCTTCCTCTTCATCCTCCTCTACACCCTCCTATATACCCACCTCTTCACTCTCCTTTACACCCTCCTCTACACAGTTTGCTAGGAAAACATGCACAACTGAGGCTGTCAATCACCTGCTGTGTGCTGGGGGAGAGGCAGGACCATCTTCTGGGATTGTCTGGTTTTGGCAAAGACTGTCAGAAATTAGTCACAGCAGGTGCTTTGAACCAAGACAAGTGCACACTATAGAAGAAGTTGCTTGTTCATTTTTCATTTCAGAGGATTACAACCAATTTAATATTCAGCTAAAATGTATCTCAGCACATAACATCAAAATACTAGATGAATATTTGCTGACAGATAAAATAAATCACTTACTAAGGTGTTTGAGCAGAAAGCTCTAAGTAATGACTTGGTGTGTGTTTCCTTACTCGCTGACACTCTTACCTCTGTACAGATGGTTAATTCCAATATAACAATAGACAAGCAGTCTGCAGCTGAAATTAGAAACTTGCCAACTAAAGCCATCTAGCCAGCACTGAAATGATGCTTGATTCGATAATCAGTAATCCTGATAACAGCAGGAGACTACCATTCTGTTTGAATATTGCTGGCACCAATGTCATTTATCCGAAATTAGATTAAGTCACTTATAGCTCAGCTTTGTGTGAGCAATGATATCGCTCACAAAGGAACCACGAGCATTTCTGAGATAGAGGTGAACACTGGAATATGGCCATTTATATTACCATAGTTGACTTGGCAGTTGTAAAAGCATACTCACTGTGGGGGTTATTTACTAAAACTGGAAAGTGCAAAATCTGGTGAAGATGTGCATAGAAACCAATCAGGTTCCAGGGTTTATTGTCAAAGCTTAAAGTGGTTGTAAATCTCAGACATGAAATATGAACAAAGTATATCCCTCTATAGTGTGTACTTGTCTCAATCCAGAGCACTAAGTGTCATTTCTGCCTGCTGCTTCATTCTTCTGCTATCAGTATTAATCACTTTTGACAAGTTTCCCTGAAATCATGAGAAAAATGACAAAGGGGAGGGATATTGAGCAGATTGACAGCCTCAGCTCTGTTCCTGTGAGCTGTGTGGAGGGGGTGTGTCTCTTCCCTCCAATCAGCTCTAAGAGTTCTCCTCACTGAACTGTACATTGTGTAATTTCAGCTCTCTGCCTCCTGTTTTCTGAACTGTCAGACAAGCTTTATAAATTCTGAACTTTGAAAGGATGTATGTAGAAGAGGGGACTGCATATAAACAGATTCTAAGTACACCGGTTACATCGATTTTAGTAAATATCCCCCAGTATGTCTTCTAAATAGTCTATGATGCCTCTTCTTTTGGTTTAGATAAGTGGTTGTCAACATACAAGTAGGGATGAGCTTGGGTTTGGCCAAACCTGGAAAAAAGCTGTCAGTGTCGGCCCAATCAGCTGTGGCTGGGGCATTCCTCATCCCTTAACTGCACACACACAAAGGGGTGGGATGCTCATGACATCATTGGTCTAATAGGGTCACATGGCCATATTATTGAAACGGGGGGAGATTTACTAAAACTGGAGAACTCAGAATCTGGTGCAGCTGGGCACTGTAAGCCAATCAGCTTCTAACTTCAACGTATTCAAGTAAGTTTTGACAATCAAACCTTGAAGCTGATTGGCTACCATGCACAGCTGCACCAGACTTGGCACTCTCCACTTGAAGTAAAAAACTCCCACAGTGTACCTAACTGGAGTCTAGTAGGAAAATATGGATAAACACTGCCACTGCCTGCTTACTCAGGTCAACAAAAAAAATAAAAATAAAAATGGTGCAAGAGATTTGTTTAGTGTGGCTGAGTAACAGCCCAAGGGTAAGAACTAGGTAGCGTGTACAGTTACAGAAAGTTTGTGTAAGAAGAAATAGACAATTACCCTCCACCCTGTAGCAGAAATACTGCTACAGAGTGGCAGGGCTGTGCAAAATCACACACACATATATAGATATATAATTTGCATTTCCAGGTAGGGGGCACGCGTGCAAGTGCACGCAGCCCTAGCCACGCCGCCATTGGTAGATAAGGATGTCAATCATTGGGTCCTGGATATCAATTCCCCGTCAGCACCTGGCGATCGTCGGGGAAAACTGACAGGGGAGACACCTGTCAGCACAGGTCTCTCCCCTATCAGCATAGACGTGTTGCTTTGTATTTCTCTGCACAGCAGAGAAATACAAAGCAGCATGTCTCCCTAGTAAAGCACACACACAGCACATAATGTAAAACAGCACAGCACACAGTTAACCCTTTGATCACCCCAGATGTTAACCCCTTCCTGCCCAGTGTCATTCGTACAGTGTCAGTGCTTTTTATTAGTGTCACTGTGGATGTTAGTGACCGATAGTCAGTTCCCCCCTAGTGCCAGAATGCCTGCCACAATCCCGATATAAGTCGCTGATCGCCGCCATTACTAGCATAAAAAAAAAAAAAATTTCCAGTATATACACCGCCATTTTTAAACGCTATGACTTTTACGCAAACCAATTAATTTACACATCTTGGGATTTTTTTTTAGCAAAGACATGTAGCAGAATACATTTTGGCCTAAATTTATGATGACATTTGATTTTCTAAATTTTTTTATATGTTTTAGAGCAAAAGGTCAAAAATATTGTTTTTTTTTTTCAAAATTGTCAGTCTTTTTTTGTTTATAGTGCAAAAAAACAAAAACAGCAGAGGTGATTAAATACCATTGAAAGAAAGCTCTATTTTGGGAAAAAAATTACAGAAATGTTATTTATGTACAGCGTTGCATGACTGCGCAATTGTCAGTTAAAGTAACTCCGAGCCGTATCGCAAAAAATTACCTGGTCAGGAAGGGGGATAAATCCTCAGGAGGGCAAGTGGCTAGCAACAATCTTGATATACTTGTACCAGCACCTTAGACAAGACTGAATAATTCTCTGTAATGATAAGAAAAGAAACTCCAAAGGGCGCCCCCCAAGTATAGCATTAGAAAGACTTTAATGGTAAAAAGACAATAAACAACTCACAAAGGTGCAAAATATGACACCTGTCATGAGCTCATCCCCATATAGATCCCATGTGAATGCATGGCAGATCACTCCATTTCAAAAAACAGCCTCACTGCCACTAGCCACATGGAAGAAACCAGGAAGCAAGCTCAGGGATTATGATGCCAGGGATCTTGGTGGAATGCTAGGCTGAACCGGAAGTGATGTCAGATGTTGCTGGAGGGCAAAAGGGATGTAAATACATTAGCATTGAGTTTGAGAAAGAAGCCTGGGCAGCTATGAAACGCGTAGTTCTGAGCTTGCTTCCTGGTTGCAGTGAGGCTCTTTCCTGGAATGGAGTAATCTGCCATGCATCCACATGAACAGGCACCATATTTTGCTACCTTTATGAGTTTATTGTCTTTTTACCATTACATTCCTTCTAATGCTACACTTAGGTGGGCGACCTCTGGTGTTCTTTTCATATACAGCCCACCTCTAGGAAACCATCTCTTGCCCTCAGAAAAACATAAAAGAACAGTGACTGTATTATTATTATTATACAGGATTTATATAGCGCCAACAGTTTGCTCAGCGCTTTACAATATAACAGGAGACAATACAGCAACAATACAGCTCAATACAAAAGGGTTATGAGGGCTCTGCTCCTGGGAGCTTACAATCTAGGAGGGAGGGGCTAGTGGTACAAAAGGTAGTAACTGTGGGGGATGGACTGGTAGGAAGAGTAGAAGATTCCAGTATTAGCTGAGGGCAGGATAGGCTTTCCTGAAGAGAGAGGTTTTTTAGAGATTGCCTAAAAGTGAGCAGAGTAGGCGATAGTCTAATAAATTGGGGTAGAGATTTCCAGAGGATGGGGGAAACTCTGGAGAAGTCCTGGAGACGAGCATAGGAGGAGGAGACAAGGGAGCTAGAGAGTAGGAGGTCTTGCGAGGAGCGGAGAGTACGGTTTGGGTGATATTTGGAGACAAGATTGGTGATGTAATTTGGGGCAGAGTTATAAATGGCTTTATATGTTATTGTTAATGTTTTGAATTGTATCCGTTGGGCAATGGGAAGCCAGTGGAGGGATTGGCAGAGAGGGGTGGAGGACACTGAGTGGAAGCCAGTGGAGGGATTGGCAGAGAGGGGTGGCAGATACAGAACGGTTAGTAAGGTGGATGAATCTGGCAGCAGCATTCATGATAGACTGAAGAGGGGATAGCCTGCGATGAGGTCAGCCAATGAGGAGGGAGTTACAATAGTCGAGGCGAGATATAACAAGGGAGTGAATAAGTTGCTTAGTGGTTTCCGGGGTTAGGAACGGGTGTATCTTGGAGATGTTGCAGAGGTGAAGTCTACAAGATTTGGACAGCAATTGGATTTGGGGCTGAAAGGACAGATGGGAGTCTAGGATTACACCTAGTACCCTGGCATGAGGCAGATAGTGGATATTACAAAGAACACTAAATGAAAGCACAGAAACATGAATAAAATGTGTCTGTAAGACAACAGTGAAACACTCGGCCACTGTCTGTATACTCAGGGCAACAGCCCACCTACATCATAACAGGCAGTTATTACAATACATCCATATATGCAATTACAGCAGAACATACAGAGCAAGGTGGACTAATCTAAAAAAAAAAAACATTCATTAATAACATTGCAGTATGTTGAACGAATCATATGGGTTGATTTACTAAAGGCAAATAGACTGTGCACTTTGGAAATGCACTCTGCAATTGCATTTGCTCCAGATCTTAGTAAATGTGCAGAAGTTCTGCTGACTTCCATCATCCAATCATGTGCAAGCAAAATTGCTGTTTTTTTTTTCCCCTTGCATTTGATTGGGTATTCTTTGCAAAGTGAAGCTTTACTATTTATTTAAGTTCTGGAGCGACTACACTTGCATAATCTAATTGCAATTTTCAAAGTGCACAGTCTATTTGCCTTTAGTAAATCCAACCCATAGAGTCTACATACTGTAACCGTTCAGCTTGTCTTCATTATAAAATTCACTCACATGCAGTGTAAGCTCAAAAAACGACTATGCCGGTTTATAGCCACTACATTACAAGTTATAGACTCTATTATAACAAAGGAACAACCTTTTTGGATCATAAAAGTAAAACTTGTATAGGGAGAATTTTGGCATAAAGTCCAACATGTGGAAAAAACTCCTTCTGCACTGAGTGGACTAAAGCAAATTGAGGGTTCAAAGAGCTAGACTGGCAAAATCCATTATAGCTTTACAGTCTGACAAAAGCTTCCTCAGTTATGTTATAAAATATTAAAACATGGCTTATTTGAATTATGGGAAGTAATTTATGGCCTGTTTCGAAGATTAAAGAAAGTATTACCACTGAAAATGTATATTATTCTTGATGAGTGAACTGGCACAGTACAAATGGTTCCCTATCTCTCATCTTTTTACTCATTCCAGTCCAGAAATATTTAGTGAGCCATCATACATGCTATTTCGCTGTACTACATTTATGTGTTTTTTTAGTTATACAAGCTTGAGAAACAATAAAGTGGAACTACACTGTATCTGAGCACAACAAACCAAAAGTGCTATTTAACCTCCCTGGCGGTATTCCCAAGTGTAGCTCGGGGTAAAATGTCTGTACCAAAAGCGGTAACCCCGAGCTACACTCGGGCTTACCATGCGGCGCTGCATAGGGAGTCCCTGCAGAGCTTACCTTGTCCTTCGCTCCCGCGATGTGTCCCCTGCAGCGTCCCCGGCCATCTCCTCCGGCCAAATCTGGCATCCGGCTTCTGTGTTCCGGTCCCTGTGATGTTGGGACGTACGGGCGGCGGCGGCGGGAAATTTGAAAATTTTAAAAAATTTCCTTTTTTTCCAAACAAATTTTACATAGTTAAACATTACTGTATCAAACCATTTCACATACATTTTGTCCCGAGTGCTTTGTCCTGCGCACTGCCTGCATTTTGTCTGTTGTTTCTGCCTGGAAACTTAGAAATGTCCATGGCGTCCAAAAGGTGTCCCTTTAGGTCAAAAGCGGTTTTAGACCGGCTAGAGAACAGCGATAGTAAATTAGAACCACTTGCAGAATTGAGTGATAATGATTTGTGGGGAAATTCGTCATCAGACACTGAAAACGATTTTGCGACTTTGCTCAGCGATGTGTGAACTTGGCGCTATATTTCAAATTTCAGTGCTTTTGGTTTGATTATATTATTGAATTAAATTTATTATTATTATATTATTATTTTTTATGATTATTTATTAAATGATATTTAATGAAGTTATGATTTCGTGTTTCAAATTTTATCATACCCGGAATGTTTACCAGACTCTTGTTCGGACAGATTTCAGTGAGTTATTCCTAAAAATTACAGGCCTACAATAAAAAAACTACATATTTCCATGCAAAATAACGGTACCGCTTTCAGCATTAAAAATCTGAAATAATAATCATACCGCTAGGGAGGTTAATTCATTTTTAATATCCAAAGCATACTCCCCCCATCCATCCATGACTCCATGATTTAGTTTGCTGAGAAATCACTTAGAAAAACACCACCTAGCATTTCTGGCCATGGCCATCTTGAGTAAGGGCAGAATATTCATGTAGCATTTACTTCCATCTGCCTTTAGCTCAAGTATGTAGGCAGGAGGGTGTGCTTAGCTTAGAAAATCATTCCTCCCTTCCTGAAGACTCCTGCGATGTATGACATAATTTGCCTAGGCATGGAAACCAGGAAGTAGCTAAAGAAATGTAAAAAACATTCTAAAACAAGTAAATATTATACACCTTCCCAGGGGTGAAACTGACCATTTGGAAACTCGGGCACTTCCCGAGGGCCTGGGGTCAGTAGGGGGCCCCATGAGATGCCCCTGGCACCTTTTTCATAGGCTTTTTTGAGTTTGGGCAAGGACACAGGGGCCCCATGATCCCCTATTGCCCGGGGGCCCCATGAGTTGTCAGTCCGCCCCTGCACCTTCCTATATATTGCATTTACTAATGCAGCATAAGGATTCAAAATAGTGAGTGAAGTTTGGATTTATCATGATACATTTACATCAGGGGTGTCAAACTGGTGGCCCTCCAGCTGTTGCGAAACTACAAGTCCCATCATGCCCTTGCCTTTGGGAGTCATGCTTGTAACTGTCAATCTTGCAATGCCTCATGGGACTTGTAATTTGGCAACAGCTGGAGGGCCACCAGTTTGACACCCGTGATTTACGTGATCTATTTTACTGCCTTTACAATTCCTTGGTGATCAACAGCTGCTTAGGATTCCAGCCAATGTATTTGTGGTTTTGATTTACTGAGGGCAAAACGAGATGGCTTCTGATGTACAGATCTCTCGTCTTCTATTGCCTATTGTTTTATTTTAAAATATGATTCCCTGAATTACATGAAGAGTGTTGTAGACAATCTTTAGAATTGTGTCATGCCTCTGCACGACAAATGGTGTTGCCTACATGTCATTGGTACATATATTTCGAGCCTTGAGGTATGGTTGGGGGGAAGCACCAGAGTGTCTATGCAGCAGATAGCCCATCCTCAGTGCATGTTTAGTCCCCAAGCTGCACAATATCCTTTGTTTGCTAGGATGCTGTCAGCTGCTCAGATTCATTGGTTACTAGGAATCTGTTGGCTGTGAGGTCAATGGCGTCCTAGCAACCAATGACACAACCGCAGCTCCATTCAGCTGCCTGTGGGGAGGTGCAGCGTGGTGTAGCGGTAGTAAAGATAGAGTCCGGTTGCAATAAAAAAGTGGAACTTGTATTGAAGGGAATACCAAACTACAAACACCCCAGGTGGGAGAGCATCACTAGGGAGCCACTCACGGTTCAGTTCAAATGCAGAAAGAGGAGAGGTTCTGACAGTGTCTGTTTCAGAGAAGTGCAGCCTAGCTAGTCCAGTCCCAACAGGGGAGACTGCCTTGCAGGATGGCAAGTCCCTAGCCTGTCCCTTCTTGTCGGGAACCTTTCCCTGCAGCTAATTGCTTTCCCTGACAGGCGGGGACTCTCTCCCTATACTATCCACCTTTCAAATGCACACCAAAACCTGGGGGCAGGGACTTATAAAGACTTTGCTGACCCAAGATGGCCACCAGGGGTCACCTAGATGCAGCATAGCCAACCAGAACTGTTTCCAGGACCCAAGAAACCATAGAGAAACCTTGTTTCCATGAGTTCCTCTCCAGCTGTGGTACCACTCAGGTCAAGCAACACCTCCAGTGGAGAAAAAAAGATGCACTTGTTTACATGCCAGCTTACTCCAGTAAGTTGAGATATAAGAATACATAAAAGAGTATAGAATATGGTGTAGTTAGCATTCTTGACAACCAGGGCTGCTCTGTGCAACAAAATTATTTTTAGTAGTAATGAGTATATCACAACATTTAATGGCTAAAAACAAATACAAGCGTTTCCACACATTCACAGTGGAGAAATGCCCACTTGCATTGGTGGTCCATGAAGAAGGACCCCTAAATAAGTGGTCAGTGGGAGAAAGACTACCTTTCTTTTTAACTGTTGGCTACTCTGAAGAGTCCAGAGTGGTCAGCAGAGAAAAAGACCCCATATTGTCAAAATAATCTCTTTGGTATTGGGCTGTATGCATCTGCATGGACTTTGCGTAGAAGCATGCCATATTTTAGGTATTTTGATATAATCGCATTCTCTCAGTGAAAGTGATTATTTCCTAATTATTTGTACACTACACAGCAAGATAAAGGTGTAACATTCGTTACAGTAACTGGAGGCTGGTTCCTCTTCTAAGGTCTTGTGGCTTCTGCTACTATGACTGCCAGGACTGAGGCAGGGTTTGACACCTCTGACTTGGGGTATAGGTGTGTGCTTTGGTAGGAGTTAGGAGTCATGGTCTGTTGAGTATCATTGGAGAACTGAGAAGAAGAAGTGTTATTACCCCAGTGGGAAAGGAGGCTCATGGTCTGGAAAATCTTTTTGGGGAAAGCTAGAAATGTTCTCCTCTGAGATGCTGAGCCAGGATAGCTGGAGGACCAGAGTACAAGTTTCTGACTTGAAGCAATCCCTCACATCAGTGGTCACCAAACGGTGGCCTATTGCGTGCCTTTGACTGGCCCTTGGGGTACTTTTCCTCCCATTGATATGAGACACTCTTCCTTCCACTGCTGCCAACAATGGGGCATAATGCCTACCACTGGCACCAAAAATGAGGCACTATTCCTCCCTCTAGTATCACAAATGGGGCGCTGCTTACCCCCCACTGATGCCAGGACAATTTCTACTCCCAATGGCCACAGTCTGGTCCCCAGAAGTCTGAAGGACCAGTAAACTGGCCCTTTGTTTAGAAAGCTTGGAGACCCCTGCCTTACATGGATAGTGGATCAGAATCAGGCCAGCCATAGGGATGGAGATGACGTGTGAATTAACTTTGTTATGCTAAAAGAAAGAACTTTAAAAAGTTGCAAGTTAACTAAACAGCATCAAAATACATAACCAAACTCAGTCTCTCCTTATCCCCATAAATTGAGAGGGTGAGCCCACACATGGGGTACTTTCAGCACAGTTCAGCATGAAACGGATAGTAGAACTGGTGAAAGAGGACCTGCTGAGATGGCTGAAGTAAAAATGGTCTCCCCATGTGGACTAAGGCTGGACCTGCTGGTAGCTGAGAGGTCCTTTGTGTGTACAGTAAGTGAGAGTGTTTTCCAATGTGGCCTGGAGGATGTAGAAAGGTGAGCTGACTTTATGTGACTCTGGGGTCTTGAACCCACCATCATGAAGTTGGCTGTTCAGTTTTTGATGAATAGACAATCTTACAGGTAGGGACACTACATTCTTAAGTGGAATAGCACCTGCTATCAGGATTAAGATTTCATTCAAAGCCTAAATTCATTACATTTTTACATAGATGACCAAAAACTGCAACTCAAAATGCAAATAAAGATACCCAATGATAATGAAAACATGTTATTTGTATAAGGTAGTCTCATCAATTTGCTGAATTTGGGGATCTTTAAATCAGAAATCATATATTTCCTTGCAGTGCCTCCTGTTCATTTTGATTTTTGAGTACACAAAGTACCAAGATCAGACATGTTTTCCCGTCTTGTGTGCTGCCAGAAGTACACTGATAAACTTGTTACATTTGATAATCCCTCCTGTGATTACAGTATGCTTCAGGCTCCAAGAGGCCCTAGAGAAAAAGTATGGATGCAAATGAGTCTACTGGTGCCCACATAATTGTACACTTGTCTTGATTACTTTGGAATCCATTGAAAGATTATACCTGCTGGGGAAAAACATGCAAAGGTTTGCATGTTCTAAAAATTGCCTGTGGTTTGAAAACAAGAATTTCCTAAAGCAACAAAATTATGCCAAACAAGCATTCTTGAACTCCCACATTCTAGCCTAACTTCACCTAAATGAACTCGTTAGCGCCTGCAAAGACTATTAACACAATGGGGGGAATTTACTAAAACTGGAGAGTGCAATATCTGGTGCAGCTCTGCATAGAAACCAATCAGCTTCCAGATTTTATTGTCAAAGCTTAACTGAACAAGCTGAAAGTGTCATTAAACCCACATCATAAAAAACGATCTATAAATGCTGTACTACATGCTGTTCATACTCACTCGGTCACTATGGGATTTATTTTCTCTATTCTGCAAAAAAATTTGGTTGATCCTGCTGTTCTCTATCTACCCCTTCTGTCCATGTCCCCAATGCAGCTGGGGATTTTGAAGAGCAGTGTTGGCAGCTACTGCACATGTGCAGTTTTAAGTGAGTTTCTATGCTAAGCATTTCCTCCCTATCACATCTGAGCAGCAGCTGTGACTATACAGTTACACATGTGGGTGTATACATGGTGGTAAATGACAGCCTATTCCCTCCCTCTTCCTTCATGCCCACTAACCAGCTAAACACAATGGGGGCAGGATGTTACATCTTGATTGATGCAGACTTCACCTCCTTGTCATTCTAAGACACAGGCTGAAGGGGCATGACTGGCAGAAACTCACCTACACCATGTTATTACCAAAAAATAAGAAAGATTAAATTTCAAATATATATTTGTATGACAATTCAAAACAGTTTATTGATATTATGTATTATGTATTTATTTTTACTCTGTATTCCAAAGGCTGCTTTTTTATTTTTAACATGTGAACAGCAGAAGAGGACTACAAGCTCCTCCTGCCACTGTTTCCCTGCAGACAGGCTGGAAAGAGCTGGGTCATGTGACAGCTGTATATTGATTAGAAAAAGGGTACTTTTGATTTTTTATCTTTATTTAAAATAATTCCAGTGCCATTGTCCAGATACAGAAAGAGAAGGGACAATGTAAATGAAACAGTGTGTGTTTAGTATCACTTGAGGTTAGACACTGATTGGCTACCATGCACAGCTGCACCAGATTGTGAGTGCTCCAGTTTTAGTAAGTCTCCCCCAATTGTTCTATGCAACAGTCCAACCACATGAAAACTCAGAATATGACAGTTAAAAGAAATACAATATCTCCCAGAAGTGAGTCCACCCCTCACATTTGTGTAAATATTTTATTCTATGTTTCATGTGACAACACTGAAGAAATGACACTTTGCTACAATGTGACGTAGTGAGTGTACCGCTTGTATAACATGGAAATTTGCTGTCCCCTCAAAATAACTCAACAAACAGCCATTCATGTCTAAACCGCTGGCAACAAAAGTGAGTACACCCCTAAGTGACAATGTCCAAATTGGGCCCAATTAGCCATTTTTCCTCTCCGGTGTCATGTGACTCGTTAGTGTTACAAGATCTCAGGTGTGTTAAATTTGGTGTTATCGCTCTCACTCTTTTATACTGGTCACTGGAAGTTCAACATGGCACCTCATGGCAAAGAATTCTCTGAGGATGTGAAAAAAAGAATTGTTGTTCTACATAGAGATGGCCTAGGGCTATAAGAAGATTGCCAAGACCCTGAAACTGAATTATTTTGAGGGGACAGCAAATTTACACTGTTATACAAGCTGTACACTCTGTAGCAAAGTGTCATTTCTTCGGCGTTGTCACATGAAGAGATATAATAAAATAGTTACAAAATTGTGAGGGGTGGACTCACTTCTGTGAGATACTGTATGTGGCTAAAGAAACATTGTGGTTGATTTTCTAAAGGAAAAAAGGCTGTTGACTTTGCAAGGGAAGTTGCTCTTTGCAAGGAAATTCGCCTCACAGCTTAGCGAATATGGCGAAGTTTAATTTTGCAAAGAATACCCAATAATGCACAAAAAAAACATCATTTTACTTGCACATGATTGGATGATTGAAGTCAGTAGACCTTCACCCCATTCCCTAAGCAAATTCCCTATTCATCTCGGGCAAATTCCTCTGCAATGGGCAACTTCCTTTGCAAAGTGAACAGCCTGTTCGACTTTGGTAAATCAACCCTATTGAGTCTACATCGTTTAGTGCTCCTAATGAAACAGCACACAGAAGGTAGGTATGATATTAGCTCAGTGAATTTATACCAGGAATAGGTGCTTTAAGAGAATTGGTTGTGGAAGACATACAGTCATGGCCAAAAATGTTGGCACCCCTGCATTTCTGTCAGATAATGCACCACTTCACCCAGAAAATTGTTGCAATTATAAAGGTTTAGGCATTCCCATGTTTATTTTTTTTGTTTATATTGGTATGACACAAAAAATGGAGAAACAAAAATCCAAATCTGACACATTCCATGCAAAACCCTTAAAAATGGACTGGACAAAATTATTGGCACCCTCAACTTAATATTTGGTAGCACACCCCTTGGAAAAATAACTGAAATCAACTGCTTCGGTATCTCAGATTGGAAGGGTTCCTTTTCCCAACTGCTGATCTCTCCACAGGTGCTCTATGGGATTGAGGTCTGAACTTATTGCTGGCCAGGTACTCTCCAGCGCTTTGTGCGAAACCATTTCTGGGGACTTCTTGATGTGTGCTTTGGGTCATTGTCCATAACCTTTGACAGAGACCCAAGTTTCTGACACTGGGCCCCACATTGCACCCCAGAGTTCTTTGGTAGCCTTCAGATTTCATAATGCCATGCACAGGGTCAAGACATCCAATGCCTGAAGCAGTAAAACAACCCAAAAACATCAGTATACCTCCACCATGTTTGATTGTAGGGACTGTATTCGTTTCTTTAAAGGTCTCATTTCTTTTTCTGAAAACAGTAGAATGATGGGTTTTACCAAAAAGCTGTAATTTTGTTTACAGCACATTCTCCTAAAAGGATTTTGGCTTCTTCAGGTAAGTTTTGGCACTTTTTTGTGTCATACCAATAAAAACAAAAGAAATAAACATAAGAATGCCTAAACATATGTAATTGCAACTTCTGAGGGAAGTGGTGGATTATCTAACAGAAATGCAGGGCTGCCAATATTTTTTGGCCATGACTGTAGTTATCATTGCAATGAAGTTCTCGAGGTACAAAATGTGGAAGTGGAAAAAAGCTTGAAAGAATGAACTGAATGAGAAAAGATTGATCAATCCTGAAGAATAGGGATGAGTGAAATTGATATTTTTAATTTTTTTAATTTATTTTTAAAATGAGTAAAATGTTGCCATTTTCCAAAGTGCTTTGAAACCAATGGAGAAGGAAATGAGAGGAACTTCAGTCTCATAGATCGTTGCCCCCTGGCCATGTTTAATAGACTGGCACATGCGCCGATGTACTACAGAGCTCTGTCTGACCTAGCGGAGGTCTTTGGTGCATTTGGCATATGCCGAGCTGTGGTCACGCATGCACAGTGAAAGGAGGTCCCGGACCTCCCTCACTGCAGTGCGTTTGTGCATGAAAACCTGTATGTGCGTTGACTTGCCAAAGGTATCTGCAAGGTTCTGAAGCCTGGAAGAGCCCTTCAGCAAAACTGTGCATGTGTGTGCAATGCCATTCTTGCCTAGACGAAAAAGGAGGAAGCAAAAAAAAAAAAAAAAACAGCACCTAAAAAAAAAAAAAAAAGATGGAAGGGGTATAGATTCAGTACAATGAATGATTGTTGTCACACTAAAACAGGAAGTGTGTTACTGGCAAGATTACTAGATAAAGGAAAAAAAAAAAACTCAGAAAAAAAGGAAAGTAAATTCATTCACCATATATAAGGACTAGTAAGTTGTACTATATTACATTTTTGTTTCTGGGTTTAGACACATTTTAAATAGGCTTCTTGTACTGACTATATGGGCAGTATGCTGGGGAATTTTTGTATTTTCTGCATTTGTGTGGTGGATGGACACTCTCTGCTTTGCTCTCTCTTCGTGCCTCCATGGACTTAGTTGAGAGCAGTGGGAGCCATTGCCTCCAGCTGCTGTCAATCAAATCGTGTAAGAAGGGAGAGAGGAGTGGGGCTGAACCATGCTGTGTGCATCAATGGATGCACACAGTCCATCTCAGGATCATTGATGAAAGCATTGGGATCCATTGGCTCCTGCTTCTGTCAATCAAATTCTGTGAGGAGGGAGCAGGAGGCGGGGCTTAGCCATGCTGTGTGTGTCAACAGATGCACACAGCCCAGCTTGGGATCGAGCCCGCACAAGTGCCACCACAACAAAGGACTTGCTAAGGGACACTGGGAGAAGAGGAGGAGCCTAGAGCACCAGAGGGTGACACCAGAAGAGGAAGTGTGGGGCCGCTCTATATAATACTATTGAACATAACAGCTAAGTATAGCATGCTTGTTATTTTAACCACTTCAGGACCTTCCATCCACATTGTACTGTGGACAGGAGGCTCCTACAGGCACAGCAAAGTATAAGTATGTTGCTGGCCTCTTCCAGGTACAGGGCACAAGCACAGCCATCCACCCCCCATCCCCCCCGCTGTGGTTAGACACGACTGGATTTTGTCAGCAAGTCCCGCCCATTGATTCATGGCCGGGACCTGCTGATTGGCTGTGTCTAATCACAGCTCAGAGCCCTGTGTTAACAAACAACACAGGGCTCTGTACAGAGAGAACAAATAGATTGTTCGTAAAAAGCAGCACATATTACACACATTAACATATCTTAGGTAAACACTTAACCCCTTGATTACCCGAGATGTTGACCCCTTCCCAGCCAGTGTCATTTGTACAATGTCAGTATTATCACTGATCACTATATTAGTGTCACTGAAGATGTCAGTGTCAGTTCCCACCCAGCATCAGTTAGTATCACAGTCCCACTAAAAGTCACTGATCACTGCCATTACCAGTATATATTAAAAAAGAAATTCCAGTATACAGTATATACCTTAGTTTGTAGATGCTATAACTTTCACACAAACTACTGTAATCAATATATACTTTCTGGGATTTTTTTTTTTTTTACCAAAGGCATGTAACAGAATAAATTTTCACGTAAATTTATGGAAAAAATTAGTATTTGTAATTGTTTTTATTGGTTTATATGTATACATTTTGTGTATATGTATATGCTTTATAGAACAAAGTAAAAAAAAAATGTTTTTTGCACAATTTCCGACCTTTTATCATTTATATAATAAAAAATTAAAAACCCATTGGTGATAAAATACCACCAAAAAAACTCTATTTGTGTGAAAAAATTATCTAAACTTAATTTTGGTACAGTGCTGCATGACTGCACAATTACCAGTTAAAGCTTAAACCAAAACCACTTAATACTCCCCTAACATCACAATAAATAAATATAATAAATATATATAACAATACATATATAAAAAATATGTTTTTAAGAAAATTGTTGATAGGACATTCTGCAGTTTGTTATTTTAATAAAAAAAAAAATAGCTTTACAATCACTTTAAAACAAAATATTCCAGGCAGACTGAATGTGTATTGTGATCCATGGAGGTATTGACTTCAGCCTACCCACATGTCATTGGATTCTCTAGGTGATATCATAAAGGATCTTCCTTGTCAGACTAATATGACCAGAATAACCTTTTACTATATAATTTACACCGTATCCTACTAATACATTACATGTTATAATTAGGCCAGAAAGAAAGCAACAGCATCGGGTTCTTGACCACAAGCTATCAAGGTCAGCAAAGGACATCTTCACTTTGAAGGCAAACACGGTGAGATGAAAGTCTACATTGCAGCAGAGGACAGCCATACATCACACAGAGAGCCAGAGGCAAAATGTTCCAGGAATCTTATGCAGATTTCCTCATTGTTACAGGTTGGGAATGGAGAGCAATTACTATGGGAATATGTATGATACTTTCCTCGTATAATCAGATGGACTCAAGGCCCAGATTGTGTTCAGCGCGGTGGCGGCATGTGTTATGGAGATTGTAATGTATTTCAATCAAGAGGCATTAGGGTTACAATCAGTTAATTATGTTTGTTCCCGTCCAGGTCTGGTGCCATTGCAAGCTCGGCTGGTAACAACTACGTTGAGGGATGCGACATGCATGGATTGATGTCACCACCGCACTGAGCAGGAAGAAGGACGGGGAAAAACCAGTACTCCGAACAATGAAGAAATGCACGATGAGCTACCTCATTTACCATTTAACAGGGAGCTCAAATATGGTAATGAAAGACAGAGGAGGACGTGCTACAACTAAATCCTGACTCATAAGTTGGCTTGACAATTTCTCGTTTCTGAGGAATATTTCAGGTGCAGAAGTCAATTAAAAAACGTTGGCTTGTTGGGGTCATTGCCTTGGCAACAATTAAGGATGAAGAGGGGAAATCCATGGTGAATCGCCAGACAAAAAAAATATATTATACTGATAGTGCCGTGCTCCTATACAAATAATCTGTGATACATAATTTCCAGATCAATAAATTATACCCTATACAATATGA